TACAGTATGATTTAAAGAAACAGGTACAGCATTGTTACATGATTTATATATTGCTAACCCAACCGTTAGAATATATTCCTAACAATTCTGGACAATGTCCTTGACTCTCTGAGAAAGGAATGTTATTTTGACTATACAGTAGCTACCCCGCTCCATATAATCCCCCCTCCCAGTTTCCCACAGCAATAAATGTGGCAGGCCTGAAGGCCCAAAGCAAAAGATGGCTTCCACGCCTGACAGCTAGGGAATAAGCTTTTAAATTACTGATTCCAAATGCAATGCTATCTTGCACTTTTGATTTTCCCCAATTAACTATTTTGAAAAGAGAGAAAAACCTCACAGTAACCCTTGGTTGTAATGCTGGAAGTCAATTATTTAAAAATAAACTGTTCTGTCCTGGTTCCTTTTATAAGAGAACCTTAAGTATGTAATCAAGGCCATGCTTTCCACAAACGGCATAATTACATAATATGGCTTCCTAAGAAAGGGGAAGGGAGAAATCCAGCTCTATCTGCGTCTACAGGTTTTATCACCTCTCAAGAGAAAGCCTTAAACTACACCTTTGAGATGTGGGGAAATTTCAAATTAATGAACTAGGATATTTGTTGAAAGCAGGCATGTGAAGGAAGGACACCTAACACTAATAGCCTGTGGGTTATTGAACAAAAATGATGTCATTTAAACCAGATGTTATAGTCCAAATTAGCCGATTTTTTTTACAAATACATTCATCATGAAAAATATGCACTAGAAGATAAATATGCTACACATCACACACCATTAAGAGAAAAAACATGCTCTATAACCGTGATGGCAAACCTGTAGCAGGCGTGCCACAGGTAGCAGGTGGAGCCATATTTTGTGGCATGCCAGCTATAAACTCCGGTGCACCAGCCAGCTGATTTTTCACATTTCTGGAAGGCCTGGGGAGGCCGTTTTCACCCTCCCCAGGTTTCAGAAAAGCCTCCAGAGGCCGGGGACGGCGAAAAACAGCCCCAACAGGCCAATTGGAAGTTTGAGAACAAACTTCCGGTTGGGCCGTTGGGGGCGTTTTTCACCCTCCCCAGATTTTAGGAAAGCCTTTGGAGGCTGGGGAGGGCAAAAAACGACCCCAACGGCCCAACCAGAAGTTCGGAAACGATCTGTTTCTGACTTCCGGAGGGCCAAGGGAGGCCGTTTTCGCTCTCCCCAGACTTCAGGAAAGCCTCCGGAGCCTGGGGAGAGGTCGCGCGTGCATGAATGGGGGGGATGTCGTGCGTGCATGCGCAGTTGGGTGGGGAGATTGAGTGGGTGCGTGCGGACAATTTTGGCACGCCGTAAGAAAAAGGTTTGCCATCACTGCTCTATAATATAAAGGCAGTCACAACTTGCTGCTGGTTTCTTACGTTCCATCTCTATTTTTAACAATAACTAACAGATAACCTGGCATTGCCTGGGAATATATAGAGGGGGAAATGTCCGGACCAAACATAGTTTCTAATATTGGATTTCCCCCCTTACCAGAGGGAGCCCCCTTGTGGAGTACTGTGAAGCTGTTACCATGGCAACTGTACTGTGCTGCACAGTAGAAGCCATTTTAAGGCACAACAGGCTGTATCTTAAAAGAACACACACCCTGAGGGNATCTGCTATGTCTTATTTGACTTATGTGACTCCCGGAGTCCCCCGGGATTGGGCGGCCTATAAATTTAAGAAATAGAAATAGAAATATCTAATTTTCATTTTAGAAGAAGAGTACAGTTACTAACTACTTTTTAAAAAAAAAACCATCTTGGAAATAGTTTTTGTACTTTTGCAAATGGAGAGACAGAAAAAAATGATGGTATGTTTTGGTGCTATATTATATTTCATACAGTTAACAGATAAATGTAGAAATGAAATGTTTGATTCTTTCACCTTTTTCCATACTGCATTTAGGTCTAACAATTTAAACATGTAAATTAAATGTACATTTTAATATAATGATCTGCTTTTGCAGTCTTTTTTCTTCATTTTGCTCCTGTGTCCATTGTGGGATGGTTACATTTGAGTAGGAGAAGCCCAAATGAAGAGCTAGCCTACTGTGTTTTTGATCCGATTGGATAATTTGTTACATAAATACAAATTATTTTGTTTTATGTTTTTGTTTTAGCTGTCCTCTGCAAACTGGGTGTACCTCTGGGACCAATGCCTAATGAAGACATTGATGTTAGTAATTTGGAAGCACTGGAAAAATATCGTGTTTTTACTCGCTATTTTAAGGTAGCAGAAAAAGAAAGTAAAAAAACTCCTTGGTGGCGAACGTATAAGAAATTCATCACTCCAGAGGAAGGTATTGACCATCAAAGGGCACAAAATCCCAGCCCAAGTTTCTTCCCCTTCCAGTAGCTTTGATCAAATAGTTTAATATTTTTCCCAAAGGCATCATGCATTTTATATACTTATACATTTTATTGACCATGATAGAACATATTTTTGAATAAACATAAAATTATAATGTACAATGCTGTTGAGAAAGTGAACAGGAAAGTATAAAAATAAAGTTGAAGATTTGGCTTTTATAATTATATCTTGAAAGTGAAACAGAACAATTGTTTCTGTTCAAAAAGCAAGGCATCTTTATTAGAAAAATGCACTGATTTCTTCTCCCTTTAACTTGTAATAAATTCTGCAACCTTAAGAGTTCTAGAAATCAGAGATTCTAAGTCTACAACAGGCACTTTCTACATATTCTAAGATAGAAAATAAATTGTTATTTTCACCTTTAACACATGTTATTTAAACAAATAGTTATGGGTTGTCCATCAGTATATTGTATAGAAAGCTACAAGATTTATTTTGCATAATCTCTTTTCTTTTAAATCTTAGATGAAGAGGCAAAGATCGACATTGGTCTGCCCAGTCTTCCACTATCACGGAAAAATATATATAAAGAGAGAAAGGCTTTTCGGAAACAAAATTTATCTAATCCAGAACTGGAAAAGGCATCCTGGCTCAAAACATGTATGTTAGTAACCACTCTCCCAACATTTATTTCTTTTGCATTCGCAAACATTCATCCATTTTGCTTATTTTGTTTCTGCTTGCAGTGCAGATTCCACTAGATGATGTCAAAGCTGAATGGGAAAGAACCAGTGGCCCATATCACAAGCAACGATTAGCAGAACACCATGGACTGTACCGGGATTTGTTTGATAATGCTATGTTTGTTCCCAGAGTGCTTCTAAAAGTGGAATATAACCAGGATGAGAATTATGTTATGCCAGTTTATTATGGAAATGTGGTTACTCCCACAGAGGTATTATACAAGAGTAGGAGCTTTGAGATAATGTACATCCTTTTTTTGGTTTTGGTTTGTCTGCTGATCATGTATTACGTATAAGACACTAAAGTAAATTTCCTGTAACATTTTACAAAATTGTGCCTGATGAATATGTCATTACTCTAAACACTTTAATAGTTATATGTTCTCTATGTACTAATATAGTGCTCTGCCAGTGGAATTCCCACCTTGCAGGGTTACAATTGTTAGCGTTAAGATGCATGAAATCAGATTCACTATAAATTAATTCTACGATGTAACACCTAGTAAATAGGAATAATTATAATCCAAGATACCTGTAGTGCTCTCTTTGTCAGATTAACTACAGCTAATCCTTACTTACTGACCACTTGTTCAGCAGCTGTTCAAAGTTACAATAATGCTGAGAAAGGGGCCATGATTGATCCTAGAGGATGTGGCTGTCACAATTACATAATCGCAATTTGGGTATTTGGCAACCAGCATGGATTTACAATGGTCATTTTCCTGCAGTCATGTGATCACCTTTTGTGACCTTCCCCACCATTTGATCAACATAACATTGTGCTTAACAATGTATGGTTATTTGCTTAATGATCACAACGGGAACTGATATCAGTGATGTTTTATTTTACGACTGGGTCACTTAGCAATGCAATTTCCAGTCTCAATTGCATCTGTGAGGATTACCTGTAAAGTGAATATAACTTTAACTTCCACTTATTAAATGTCTGTGTACTATTTTTCTAGTACAATACCTAGAGCAGTTTTCAACTACATGCAGACAAATGCTAAAAATAAGCAATGAATTGTTTTTTTGTGAAGAAAAAAATTATTAGTTGCACCAGTAAAGCAGAAACTACCACCATCTATTAAATGTCTGGGACCATGAGACATTCTTAACCTATCACATAATCATGACAAGAGGTGCTTCAATTACTGACACTCAACCTTACTTGTAAATTCTGTGTGGTCTGGAATAATCTTACAGAATTAGATAGCTTTTTGCAATACTATTGGTGTTTGGGTGAGATTTCTGTTATCAATAACAGCAGTATGACCTTTTTTATTGTCCACAGAATCTCCCAAATTCATGCAGTAAGGAAATTTGTATTTGGACCAGTTATTTTCTCTTATTTGTAACCTAAAATGGAAGAAAAGGGGTGTGAAAATCATCAAGATTGTTATTGTACATATGCTGATTGAAAATAATCCCCTCCCAAATTCCCCAAACATTTTGAACTATACTTTCTGTTCACTTGAGTGAGGGTGGGAGGTTACTACCTTTCCTTTTGCAATCCATGGCTCCGAAAATTAGTTCCTACCCCCAACCTTTTCTCTACCGCATCTTCCTTTTTAACTCCCAACTCCCTTGAGAATATTAGTTTTGATTCTCCATGCTGCAGTTATTAAGAAATGATATCGATGTCTGTTGACTGATGTAAAAGTTGTGACCAGCTAAGAGAGCAAGTTTAAGAACACAAATTATTGTTATTTCGATTAAGACCACTCAACTACATCAGTGACTCGGGACTGCTTACAATTAAAGTTGGAATTCTTTATTCAGGACCATGGTGGGGCAGGGGTGAGGAATAGCTATTTAAGACTCATTGTCATATTTTCCTGTTTAGGCTTTTAATCATCCTGAAGTTTCATTTGAAGCAGAGGAAGGAACACTTTGGACATTGTTGCTCACTAATCTAGGTAAGTGCCATTATGTTAGGAATACTTTCTTACATGATAGAATTTCTTAACAGATTTTCCATTGCATATTTTGATGGCGCTTCTGATTAAAATCCAGTTACTGCACCCGAAACAGACACTTTTTAACTGCAAAAGTCTATAGAGTGGGAAAAAAACCCAGAAATCATATAATTAAGAAAAACTGCCTAGATCGGGGTTCCTCAAAGTGGTTAATATTGACCCCCAGAGTCAGTGGGACCATTCAATGAGTTGATAAATGGCTGGAGTAACCCTGAGTTGTCTCTCATAATGGTTCGTTGCATAGTCAGTTTAGACAGGATTTGGTATTTTTATCCACCTATTGAGACCTTCCCAAGGATCTGAGATAGGCAGAGGATGTTTGATGATGTTAAAGGTTGTTTGTAGTATTAAAATACCCATTAAATTGTTTTCATATAATGTTTGGAATCGATAAACAATTTGAAATGGAGGAAGAGTTGATGAGATATAGAATAATAATAATAATACTTTATTTACGGTCACAGACCAAAACACTATGAGATATAGAGTTTGGGGATCCCTGGCCTAGATAGTTGTTCAATTTAATTTAGATAATTCTTGCTTTTGTAAGGTGGGACTGGGCATTTTAAAGGAAGATTTTGCAAGTTCTAGATGGGGTTTTTTTTTAAATCCATCTAGACTTTTTAAAGCTTGTAAAAGTTGTGAGCAACATAAAAGAAGGCTGCATTTCCCCCCCAAAGCTGATCAAATTGTACCATTATCCAAACTCACTTACTGCTTTGTCTGTCCAGGCACATTGCAGGCTTTTGCTAAAATATTGTCGGCCATATCTGGAAACCCGCATGAGTCATAGATTAAAATTAAAATACTCTTAGTAAATAGCTGTATTCATTTATTTAATTAATCTATATATCAGCCATCTCACTATCCTAGTGATGGTTCTGGGAAGAAAACTGATGGATGACTAAGGATTAATATGTGGCACAGATGTATCAGAACTGGGAGGGGGGAGTTATTTTGTCAAATGTTTCTTTATATTGTGCAACCTTTGTCATTCAGTTTTTTAAAAAGCCATTGTGAAGCTTTTATACTAGCATGAAAAATGAACTGTTGTAGTAAAAAAGAAAAAACTGAATATGCTACAGCCAAAATAGTATAATAAAGACATATTTTGTAAGATAAGTTGTATATTTACTGGGGTTTTGTATATCTTGTGTGTACAGATGGGCACCTGTCTGATGGCAATTCGGAGTATGTCCATTGGTTGGTGTGAGTATTAGAACTGTATAGAATACAGAATAATAGAGCTGAAAGGTACCTTGGAGGTCTTCTAGTCCAAACTCCTGCACTGAGGGCATCATTTTCATATTCAAAGGGAATATGGAACAGAATCTCAAAATTTTGTTTCCAAATGTACTATCATGCTAATTTCCTCCAATCCACCCATTATTATAGAATCAGAATGTATCTGTTAGATGGAATCTTAGTTTAGCCCAGTGTTTTTCAACCTTAGCAAGTTTACGTTTTGTGGACTTCAATTCCCAAAATTCCTCAGTCAGCATGGTGACTGGGGAATTCTGGGAGTTGAAGTCCACAAAACCTAAAGAAGCTAAGGTTGAGAAACACTGGTCTAGCCTATTCCACTGTTCAGTGTACAATCTACCAGTATTATGGCAAGTCCAACAATGGCCTTCAAATCAGCAGACTCCATTGGCTTCTGTTGATGGAGCAGCATATACTGTTAGAAGTGTGCCCTTGATAATCAGCAGTATCTGGAAGGTGAGAGGTTCTCCCCACATTAGTCTTGATGCATACTTCTTACATGTGCATTCTACCTTTCCTCTAAGGAGATTGTGATGGTATGCATGGAATAGTTTGTCATATTACCTTTGCATTAAGAATTTCCTCTATAGATGAATGAGGACTTGAATCTGGATCAGGGGTGGGTTCCTGCCAGTTCTAACCTCTTCTATGGAAGAGATTCCACAAATCTACAGTGCCCTTTAGTACCGGTTCCAGCTCCCTCCCCCCACCCGTCCGCACATCATCAAGATGAAGAGTGAGAGGAGGAATTCTGGGAGTTGAAGTCCACAAGTCTTAAAGCTGTCAAGTTTGAACACCCTTGCACCCCTAACCTTAAAAAAAGAAACTCCAGGGGAGTTCAAACTTGACAGCTTTAAGACTTGTGGACTTCAACTCCCAGAATTCCTCCTCTCACTCTTCATCTTGATGATGTGCGGACGGGTGGGGAGAGGGAGCTGGAACCGGTTCTAAACAACATTGTAGATTTGTGGAACCTCTTCTATAGAAGAGGTTAGAGGTTAGAACTGGCAGGAACCA